CGATCATTTGGAAGATTCGAGCAAGTAGTTCAGCACGGTTATTCGGAGCCAGGGAGCTATATATACGTAAATCGCCAGACGATAGAGTCAGTCGGAGATAAAGGAAGAAAAAGAGAGATCTCACGGCACGTCTTGCAAAATGTGATAAAAGGAAGCTAAAATATTGCTCAACGAAAATTCAAGTCGATCTTCTCGGGGAGTCGAGAAACTCGATTGAATATAGGGATTAGAATACGGCGGATAGTGGATTTCGGGAACGTATGAAAGTTCGGGTCCTACAAGTAGAAAGTACTTAACAGCGTATGAAATCGGCGCGACTCGGCGAAGGGACGAGACACGTCGGTGAGAAGCTCCGAGAAACGAGCTCCGTGAGACTCAATATAAGAACCGGAAGGAGAGTCAAGGGATAAGGCGAATTGTGCGAAACGTGGAAGGCAATTGTCGCCCGGCAACTGTTATTTCCGGCGAGGCACGCGAGAAACGTGTTGTTAGAGAAAATCTCGCTGTCCCACTTTCAAAGAGCGGCGTTCCACTGCGTCAGCTGCCCTTTTTATTTTCCGGTTCCCGAAGAATCCACGCTCGCCTGCACTTCGTTGGTCGTCGTTCGACGAGGCCGTTCAGTTCAGCGGAATCCCCGGCAAGCGGGCGCGTACACGGGAACACCTGTTCTCGATTAGAGAACTCGTCTCGAAGCGCACGAGGGCTTGTTCCGTTGTCCGGAGCAGCGCTAGCACACCTAATGATAATTAATGGGGGTTTCCGAGAGAGAAAAGGACCGGGCGTTCGCGATATCGTTTATTATACGAGGCGAGCAGCTCGATAAACAATGCAAAAATTGAAAAGCAGCGAATTTACATTGGCGACGAAGCTTTTTACGGTGAAGCAGAAAGAAGTCCGTTGTGATACGGCGGAGAACGTTGAAATCGCGATAATTGCCGATTTAATTTCCACGAAGGGTTGTTTCATCAATATTAATGCAACGCGCCCACGCGTACTCCATCTACATACATTCCCCGAGATGAAATCCGGGAAGGACACTGTGCGGCGGATGAAGCGAAAAAAGAGGCGGCGATCGTAAAGATGTAAGGACGTCGAATTAACCGGGCGGGCGCATGCTCCGTACGAAAATCATTAATTAAGCGGGGAACTAAATGCATGAGGAACAAGCTCCCTGTCATAACTTCCGTGCGACCTCGTAAATTACGATGAGGATTTTCTCGTACGGCTTCTTTTGCTTGAGCATTTTAACGGCCGGCGTTGCGACGCGATGTTCCGCGTCGCTCGAAATGCGAAAGCTCCATTCGGAGCAAAGCGAGTGTGGGCCGAGTGTATTCAACGAGTGGATTTCAACAAAGTGGAGCAGATGGATCTCGGAATTGCGGGAAAGAAATCGCGCTGTAGATTACAGATTGTCGATTATAGATTATTCCTCATCGCGGGACCGCGACGGTCGAGTCGACGAGAAAAAAAATAAGCGGTGAAAATAAGATCTAAACGATCTTAATGATTTTCGATGACCCCGTTCGCGGTTCAAAAGTAGGATCTCTCCTAACTAAAGGGGATGTCGAGCATTATGATTACGCTGTGAATGAGATCTGTAGATTTCTCCTATCTCCCCATCGCGCTATTTCTGCGAAAATCGAAGCCGGAGATCCGAGAGGTCCGAGACCGTAGCGAAACTTCGGCGGTTCGATGCTTTTAGCTCGTCCCATCGGACGAGTTATATTCAGTTTCGCTCCGATAACGTGCATACAGAAGTACCTCGACGTGCGAGGGGATGGAAAGGTAATAAGAATAACCCCCTCCCCCCTTCATCGATTGATAAATAATTCGCCGGCGATCGACGAAACGCCGAGAGATGCGTTGTCCATCGGAGAATTTCAATTAGGCAATTCTGGTTGAACGACCCCTGGAGATGCTCGAGCTCTATCTTGTCTCTAGAAACTATTCGGCGACATCAGAAAATCATTTACATAAGATCGAGATCGGTCCGTCCCGAGTTTGAAACACGTTATATTAACCACGCGGCCCGTCCTGTCGATTACTTCGAAACAAGCGAATTGTATGAGTTCGGTCAGTCGCTCCGTTCCAGTTCGATCGGTCGATTGTCTCGAGAACCATCGTCTTTGTCCGGTGCTTACATGGTAGTTCTCGTAACGGCAATTCGAGGTCATCGATGAACTCCTTGATGACCGACAATAAAAACGAACGACTGAGGCTATGCAACGTAATGTCGCTCGAGAGGGTATATCTTATAGATCGTCTTCTTTTCCCATTTCCCTCAAGCCTTTAGCCGGCTTTACGTAGATCTCGTTTGCATCGCGACACTTCAATTTTTTTTAATCAGGCTCATTAAGGCGATAAGACTGAGGTTCCATCACGCGACCGTTAATCTTCTTAAATGACTAAGCTTATCGAATATAAGATAGATTGTATAAAATTATCTTACATGCGCCGCTGACGCAACACGAATTGTGTCGTGCGATTCGATAATTTTAAACACGATTTTCCAAGAGAGAGACATTCACGAGGCAATATATCAATTTGAAGTCCCTCATCGATGGGACTTCAATCTTCACATACGAGGGAAGCTATCACGGAAAAGTCATTCGGGATTCATTCGCTGACTTTCACGGACGCACGTTGGCAGATCGTAAAATGTCTCGTTCTCTTTTATATTGCGAAACAGTGGAAACTATCGGTTCTGATAGCGGCGTCTCCAGCTTCCCTTCCTTATATCGGAAGCGAGCCTTACAAAGCACCGAAGCCGCGAGATGTTTACAGCCAGGGAAGCCCGGTCTGCTCGTTTAGTTTCAAAGCATCCAAGCGTGCCGCTTACGCGATCCGACGAGAATTCTGCGGCGCGTACCGCACCCCCTCGATGCCGTCTCTAACCACCAACATCCCCCATCGCGTACACCCACCATCCACCTCGATGCCTCATTCACGAAGATCACCACGGACGATGCGGTCCGACGCCGCCTTGATCGCTAACGTCAACCTTAACGCTTCTCTCGTTTCGTGTGTTTCACGTAACGCCAGGGAGAGAAAAACCGTATCGCGTTGCGATAAAAAATCACGCCATTCCTCGGTGGACGGCCCCCGACGAGAAGAAAGAAAACGACACCGAGATCCTGTCTCCTCGGCCAAATGGTCTGAACAAATTGTCACGGAGAAGACGAATTCGGGACGATTTCAAGATAATGTCCTCGACTATAGTCCTTAAGATAAATTGAAAGTATATATAGAAACGTCTCATCTTTCCGTCAAATTTACTTTATGGGCTCGAGAAAATCGATGAAATATAACTCTTACGCGATATGACAGAACGGAGTAAACTCAGATTCGCATTGCAACGGACGTAGTCTAACGGAATTAACGCGTGTAAGCTACCATTAGAGAGAATATCCAATATGTGCACTCGCCGTAATGTATCTTTGATCAAATTGCACGGGACGAATCGGCAGAATCCGATGCATTTCGTCGAGAGAGGGTGCGGTAATTAGCGGTAATATGCGAGGCAAGCCTCTGATTTCCCGAACACGAATACTTTCCCAGAGTGAGCTTTTTGAGACGCTTATACCTCGCCTGACCTCGTTTTAATAAAGGATATAAAAATTATTCTGCAAACCTCGAAACCAATATTGAAACTCGATTTTGCATGTTTTTCCTAACACGCTGCTATTACTTTAAATAACTACCAAAAAATATACTACGTGAAAATACGTAAAAATACGCTCGAGAAATTTTCGAATTTAAAATATTTGATTTTGAAATCCCTCATTTTAGCTACGTTTGCACGCATCTCTCTCGCGTTATTTTAACTAAAGCATTCCTAAATATCTCGAATTTTTTCCATTTTTGTAGATCTATACGTATCTACATATTATTTTTCGCGTTATATTATTGTCTATATCTGTGTTTTCTTCTCGAGATATAAAAGGGGTGGATAGATATCAGGGACACTCACTCGCGGGTAAAGCTCGAGTATACAAAAGATGGAGGCGACCCTCCAAATAATGCGAAGAAAATGTGGATTTTATCGGTCTCGGCCGACGTGCACGCTATCCTTCGAACGTATCAAATTTCGAAACTGTTTAAGCGAACCATCACACGGCGGTCACACGACACTATTAACCCCTTTCAGAACTACGAGCACTTTAGGGTTAAACTATCGATGTTTCCTTTCCAGTGTATGTCAATATTTCCTTAGTTTATCTTTCTTTCTCCCTCGCACAAACGGCCGATTTGTTCACAAGATCGGCATTAAATCGCGATTTCTATACTGTTAATGTCCAACACTCTTCAACAATTGAAATAGATAAATAAATTTTTATAAGATAACCAGCTGTACGATAAGAATGTGTCAGAAAGCTATCGGAGTAGACGCGAGATGACAAAAATCCAGCGCGAACTGCTCTGCGTGTGTGAGATCATAAATCTTTCACGATTTCGAATAATTTTAAAACCGTAAAATCGATTACGATTCTCACAGCGAATGCTATATTAGCAACAATAAAAAAAGAAGTTTCTACGATAAAAGTAAATATCGGGCATATTGTGCCACGTCTCATGAATATTTAATCGTTGGCCTTGCTTCGGTCGTGCACTGACACGCATATACTCTCGTCTATTCGCATTCACACATTTCTTATACTTTCGACCGATATATTCTAATGTCTATGGCCGATCGTCAAGCTTTACACACGCTTAAAATCGTTGATCTTTCCGATGACTGTGGTTGGAGCATTTCTAGAGTACATGGGAAAAAAATATATAACAATAATGACAAAAATCATATCTTTATGATACTCGAATTAATTCGACGAAATATAACATATATATTTGTTTTATAATCCTATTATAAATAATCCTATTGTCTTATCTTATATTATAATTATTCTAAATTTGTCTATAATAAAAGTATTTTACGTAGGAAGTCAAGCTTTGCTTTGTATCGCTATTTTTAAAAGATACTCAGAGAGTATCCTTTTTTTAACAATACATATATAGTCGCAACTTCTTCTTTATTCCCATTCATGGGAATTCATTTTTCAATGATTTATTCGCCATTGTATCAACATATATATTCTTTGGTATACGGTGATAATTAAAGGCAGAGCATTGTGCGAAAATAGAACTCACCTGTCGCGATCAGCAATGTTGCATGACACATCGATACAATCGGGATAATTGACAAAGTTGTAATACTCACCTGCAACATAAAGAAAAATATTGTATTAATATTCGTACTGTAATTATCAATAATAATCATATGAATTTTATTCGTTTCAAATTTACAAAAATCGAACTTTATTCAGGTCAAGAGAAAGAAATCTCATTCACAGATAATAAAATCGTCTTTTCGCAAAAATACAGTATGAGAAATGCCTGCTAACAGAATGTTTAAAACAGAGAATGATGGAGCCATTACTGTTAGCAATTAACCATATTTGAATGTGCGGTCGTGCGTGCAACAAAACCCGCTGTTGAACGACGAATAAGAGGGAAAGAGCGAGACAGCCGTTTTAATTATATCGTTGATATTCATGAATAAACATGAATTCTGGATCTGGCGTCCAAAATGTCGGCGATATTCCATGGCAAAACGGCGATCTCTTCCGAGCAGAGTAACAATGAGGAAGAAGACCGGATAATCTTCGTTGCGCAAATAAAGCTACCTGAGATATACTGAATTTCTGTGCAGCCCAGATTGAAAATTACGCGACAGAGTGCAAATGAAGGCTGAAATTACATCAATGATAAGTGGAAAATATATTAATGCGTTTTTACATTGATTTAAAAATGTACGATATAAAAATATTTTTGTAAATTGCAATTTTTCTCTATACGCGTATTTTTAAAAGGTTGCTAACAGTAATGGTTGCTTTGTAATATTTACAATCCATTATTCATGAAAATGAAGAGAAAAAACGTATTTTTATTTAATCGTATTTCGTTTACGATCGTTGCTCCACGTTTTTGAACTTTGCTTTATGTATACAATGTGTACATTAAGATTTATCAAGACTTACCTTAATGATATTAACATGATAGTTTTAAGGATTATAAATAAAGTTAATTGCCAACATACATACTTTTGTTCTCCGCATTAATATTACATAATTTGTAAATGTATTCAAAATAGCATTCTATTGGAATAATAATAAGGCCATTATTTATCATTTATATTTAGCATACTTAGCATATATTCATATTCTTTTAATTAAACTAGAATTATTTATAGTTCTGGCTTGAATGTTATAATTAAATCGCATTAATAATTCTCGTGCAATTTCCGGCATGAAGGTACAGCATTTCATAAGTTCGTTTCGCCAAGACGAATTCCGTCTTTTCCGGTACATTGAGAACATTATCATATTTTAATAATTCAAAATGTTAGGACTTGAAGTTGTTGTAAGAGACAAGTACTGTGATGATGGAAAATATTATGACATACGACCGTCGAAGTATCTTTCCCCGGCGCACGCTCTATCGACTAATCTTATCAGTGTTGTCATAAAGGAAAATAACTCGCGGACAGAGGAGAGAAAATTATTAACCTCCGCGATTAAATTCCGCGATATGTCGAGAGGTCCAGAATCAAACCGACAGGTCCAAGCTTGATATGTTTGCAACCTGCCGTTTACAAAACGGCCAATAAGATTAATGTGCGGCCGGAATTACGCGATTAACGTGACGAACTCGCTCGTTATCGTGAATGATATCAAGGCCGATTACTCTCTCTTAGAATGATATCCTCGCTAATGAAAAATATAATTTTATGTTTTCGCAGGGCAAAAACTGATTCGGGAATCGTAATTCGTACCATTTCGAGCGCTCGTATCAGTTTAACTTATCTCATTTTTGTTGCGGATTGCGTGAGCTTTCTTTCTCTACCCGTTTTTAGTTATCGTATAAATATATATCATATTACGTATGTATAAGTACCAGGGCAAGAGAGAAGGAAGCTATAAAACTGAGTGCGATAAAGTCACGATACTGCGACCGTTCGCTGATTAGATCGCATTGTGCCTGTGTAGGAGAAAGAGGCAGAGGGAGCGAGAGAGGATAACGAGGATTTATTTAATTGCCTTAGCTAAAAGGCTCGCTTCAGAGCCCATTTTAAACGACTTAACGTTTACACATATGCGTAGATGTAAATAACAGAAACTCCAAAGGAGTTTATCGTTCAAATAGCGATAGCGCCACCGCGACGATAGCGCCGTGCGATATCGAAATTTGTTTCGCATTCGCCGGCTTTCCAATCCGCTTTGCGTGCGACGCAAATTGCGAGAATTGATATCTTCGTCTCGAATGCTCGATGCTCGAGGTCGATGCGACGGATTAAATCGCGGCTTCGAATTCGCTTCTTTTGACGACAGCGTATCTTTGAGACTATCGCGCCGGGGGATCTTCGCGAGATCCGCGACTTGCCCGGAAGCGGACCGGATAAGAAGAGGAGGCAAATGGAAGGGTCGATGCTTCGTTTTGCCTGACGAGACGGATAAAAGGAAAACGTTTCCAAAGCGGCTGGACCAGTACCAATTGGCCCGGTTCAGCGGATACAGACAACCTCAAAGGACGAAGATCCCCGCGCTTTTAATTCTTTTTTTTTTTCTTTATTACAATCTTCTTGGTAAATACAAAATCTCAAATTGAAAGGAAACTGCTTATCCCGCTCGGTTATCCAAGGAACAGATACGAAGTCATACAATAAATCCCTTTTCAACGGTGCTTGGACATTTTCCAAGACGTAGTAAAGAAGAAGTAATTGTATTCGTTGACCTGGCGGCGATATAGAAGTACAAGTAAATACTGCGAAATTAAAGAAGAAAAAGCTGAGTGCGGCCGAGGAAGGATTTAGAACGTACACATGTTACTCGTTGTTGGATCGCGCGGGAAGATAAGAACCCGCTTACGTTTGTATTTCAGCTGAACCGCCGGTGAGAGGTTCATTTGTCATTGTTGCAGCCGGCGTAATAGCGTAAGTCAATCAACGGGAACGTTAACGAGCATCTAGAGGATTACTCACATCGCGCAAGTTGAACACTAGAGCGACCATAAGATCGGATAATCCAAGATCGATTAGCTATTTGACACTTATCGACAATGGGAGTAGACCGAGCCACTTCCTTGATAAATAGTTCTTTAAATGGAAAAAAAAAACCACTATCGCGTTACGTATAACTGCGTAATTTACAGCGCTTCGGCGATTAATTTTAATCGTACGTTTTCAAATTTGCGTAATAAATTATTTTTCAAGTCAAAAGTCGGAAAGTCCTTAGGAATGCTTTTTATCACAATACCTCTTGCGTCACATCGCGCATACAGTTCCCGAGCGATATGAGCGTCTGCGCGAAGCGAAATCACGTTCCCTTAACTCGTTACTCGTCGAAGTAACGCTGATGATTCTCTACGGCGAAGTTTCAGAAAACGGTGGAAAACTTTACGAGGCAAAAATGGGAAATACGGACACAACCAGGAATATCCAGCGACAACCGTTCCAATAACGCTCTTTAGCGGACGCCCTCCGCTCCTTCCCTTCGATGAGAATGCATCGGTTTAAATTATGGGGGTGTTATCTCGTTGCGTGAAAATTGCGCCGAAGTGACACTGCTCGTACCTCATATTACCGTTTAGGAAACTTCCAGCGTCGGCGAAACTTCCTCGGCGGTATCGCGCGGATGCGGCCGGAATTTCACCGCGATGGTTTCGCCGGCGTTTTCGAGAATGAGCATACATACGAGAACGACGTTCGCGCTGCGCGATCGCCTCTCTCTCTCTCTCTCTCTCTCTCTCTCTCTCTCTCTCTCGTTAGCGTCGCTCACAAATAACACGTCTGAAAGACAAATATGTGATGATCGCACGAGCGCATCAGCGAGATACGGATACGAGGCGTCTAACGCGGTAAGCCATGCAACGTACAGATGGGCGAGTGTATCATGAATATTTCAAGTCTCGTAAATAAGTGTTCGTCACCGCGGTGGGAAAAGCTGCTTCGAATTCAGAGGCGACGACTAGGATATTCCTCTTCATCCGACAAGGATAGCGACAAAGTCGCACCCTTCGAACGCGAGCGCGTGCGCATCGCGGGAAAGTATCGTCTCGAACGTGGCCTGATAAATTCGTCGGGCCGATAAAAATCGAACAACAGAGGAACAAGATGCGGGATAAAAAAGCGAATAGAATAAACCGTCTTGCCGAGAGCAAGTAGTTCTCCCCGTTTTTCGCTCTCGGCCGCGCTCCCGGTCTTCCTCGTAATCCGTCAAGAAATAAAGCGCGTATGTGGCACGACAAATGTGGACGTGTAGCTCTTGTCTAACTTCAGCTGTCCATTGTGTAAACCAGTGCATTTTGCTGCCGCTACCGCCGCCGATAAAACGACGATAATGTAATCCGTGCAGTTATGAGGATGAGGAAGAGTACCCTCCGTTCTTCCTTCATCCTGTCGACATGACGACTGCGAAAATTTTATTTATCAAAAAAATCTCGCCAAGTGAAACAATTTTAGCAATCCGACCGGACCAGAGGTGATCCAAAAGAAATCCTATTGTACAGATGTGCAGACTGACATTTTTCCGATAAAAATACTTGATACCGATACTGCAGAAAATAACATTTCGATCCTCGTGACGTTCTGACGGCAATGACTTACCACACTCTTCTGCAGAGCGCTAGAGCTGACAACCATTATTCGCCTCTGCTTCTTGATAAGTCTGCTGAGCCTCTGCGTTCTCTGAGCGCAAGTCAGAGGTTTCCCGGAGACCGGAAACTCGTCCTGCAGCTCGTCCTCGAGATCGTCCTCCGTGCTTTTCTCAATCGGCGAGCTCTGCTTCGCCGTCACGGTGCTCAACGGCACGGCCTTCGCGATCAGAGTCTCGCTTCGCACGCTCCAAGTGGACCCACCGTACTTCTTCATGTTCATCAGATCGCCTATGCTGCCTCTCACGCTGCTGCTGCCCAGTTGTAGATTCGTGCGTGACAAGGCGGGCGAGTGCGGAAGCGACTCGGAACATTTCTCCGTCGACTTGACCACGTCTGGCAGGATCGCCTTGCTCTGGAGCTTGTCCAGATCCGACAGGGACGATCCTCGACGTATTTTTGCTCGCGGTGACTGAAGATATTTCTTCGAGAGCCTCTCCTTGCTCTCCTTTTCCCCCGCGCCACGCTCTTCGAAGACAACGATGACTTCATGGCGAACAGGCCCGCCTTTAAAGGGAATAATAAAGCCCATTCCGTCGACTTCTCCCGTGTCTGCATTGTTATAGTTTTTCGTTTCTCTCTCTCTCGGCGGATATTCAATAAAATAACTCTGTTATTCCGACGGAAATTGAGAACGCAATTTGTCAAAACATTATCGGGATTTTTTTCTTTTTTTGACTGATCGTTTATTCTCGATCGTTTTCAGCACGACACGTCGTCATATCAGAGCAATTAAAATACTGAAACGCCGTGGTTACGTACGTCAAGGATATCGCCATACTCGCGATAGTCATATCCGCTATTTAAGGATATCCGCTTCAGCATTTATCGGAATATCTCATTCACACCGTCCCGTCAGCAGCATTCTTGTACTTGAACTAGATTGAGAAAAAAATTTTTATGCATAGTATAATATTTTCCTTTTATAACTCATAATGTTTATCTTCATTGCACGTATAATCCACAGTCACCCGATATCGTCCGTCTCTAACCTCTTCGTAATAATTTTCTCGGATAAGTTCCAGCATAAAACACCTACGTGATTCTCTCATGTCGGCATTTTGATCCGAGAGGCGCGGCGCGATTTGTTTTGACGTCGATTTCATAGTACCTCGCGTGAAAGGAAGGATCCTCTTTCAGCCGGTTCCACGATCAAACTCGCCAAGAGATCCGAGCACGGGAACCGAGTCGACGATGAGTGGTCAGCCTCCCTCGGCTGGACCACTCGGTGGTATTTTCACTTAAGTTAACACGACCCCCCGCACGGACGTGCCCTTTGCGACAGACATACGACAACACTTCCATCTAATAAAAGCCTAATAACGATCGATACAATCGCTCCGCCTCTTTCATCCGCCGATTCGTTGAAGTCGAGAGGATGTGCTTAACTTCGAACTTGACGAAGGGGAGGCTGACTTTGAAGGAACTTGAAGTGCGGAGCGAGACTTTCGCCCTTCGGTCTTTTGGCGCTATACCAACGTGCTCATCGTAGTCATCGAGCCATTGACTATTGCGATACTGAAAGAGAAACGGTTCAGTTCGCGCGTTGACAAGCGTCAGTCGCGATAAGCAAATGGCGGGAGGTAAGACCTTGTTACGAAGGTGATACCGATTCCTCGTCGTCGTCGAACTAGTAATCATACGGGCTCCTGATTGTGACGCGGGCCACCGGTCTGACCTACATAGATTAGACGCTCCACGAGGTCCTATCACAGGAAAACACGTGTAAAACTCGGTTACGGGCTTGAAAAAAAGAAACCGCCTCCAATTTGTTAAACGCAGATGAAATAATTTTACGATGCATAAGAGAAAGACGAATAAGATGGTGAAGTGATTAAGATGATGATTTGTTAATTTTTCTAAACTAATAACGGATAAAGAATTGACGCCTTACTTAACTTATTAGAGGCTTTTTAATAATAATAAATAATCTACTATAATTTGATTTTAATTTGTTAATGGTACAACAGATAATGTAATAAGAAGTATTGGAATATGTAATTTTGATATTTCTCTATAAAGAATTATACAGTTACGATAAATATATTTTCATTTTCTTTATAGAACTACAATATATCTAAAAATGCATATAATAACATATTATTATTTTTTATTTTTCATATTGCAATATGTTTTTAAATGGATGAATAAATAGAATAAATAGAGTAATCATAAGGTAACGTAAAATAACGTCATGTCAAAAATTACATAATTGTAAATAATTATTTTTGTTCTGTAATTTTATTTTATTTTATGTAATTATAAATAATTATTATTTTTGGTTTTGTCTAAATTTTATTTTCATGAAGTTATTATTACAATATTTTTTATTCATGTGTACTATTTATTTTTACTTCATTATATTATTCAGGCATTAATAACAAAATAATATAAAAAGTTTGTAAAAAGTTAATTTTTACTCATAAAAAAGTTAGTTTTAATTTTTATCCCCATTTAATCCATTATTAAAAGTCATCTACCCACATATGAGGGTAAAGTAATTGACACATCTTCAGGAAATTTAAATTACACAAAATTCTAATTTATTTACAAATAAATCAATAATATCAGCTTCTGCAAATGATAGACAAGGTTTTAGTTAATCAGAAAAAAATCAACAAATCTTAAGATCGTACTCTTCTTTCCCTTGCATTACATTATCATTGCAAATCAGCATATTAATTTGATTGCACGTGTACAAAAGCTCGATACCGCATAAAACAATAACTCGTTAATAAACATGGCCACGTATATTCGATGCAATTAATATTTAAATTATATAAATTAATTAAAATTGTAAGTATACGCATTATATTAAATGCGGTTAACACAATTAACAGGAAATGGAACATATGGAACATATGGAACATATGGAGCATAATATGCAAATTGCAATATGTATGCTGGCATTACATTACATACAAGATGAACCGATGAGGAGGAGGGGGAGAGAGAAAAAAAAGGTCTCCGCAAATAATACGTTGCGCGAATGCGAAGAATTGTACGTGGGAAACGAAACGGAGGAACGCAAAATGAGGCTTTATCAAGACGCGTTCGATGGCGGAATGTAAAATGCATGCGACGCGCAGGAATCCGAATAAAATGCAAAGTGAGCGCGAACGTAGCGTCGAAATCTACATTTTTATGTGAATAATAGAAAAAGCGGCGGCGGCAAGACGGCGGAGAAATCCGCACGATATGCGTAGTAAACGCGACGTGACGGTAGCGCGACTACCGGGCGGCCGCGATCAAGTATAAGAACGTGTCTACACGTAAAAGCTATTTTATCAGTAAGAAACAAGAAGGGTGAAAAAGTACGCGCAAGTAGCTGACCTCTGAGCTCTTGTAAATCGCTTTAACGAGAGACTCGGTACCGGGCGGAAGAAAAATTCTCCCGCCGTCGAAATATCCGTTCTAATGCGGTCCGATCATTTTTCTTCTTTTTTTTTTTTTTCTCTTTGGCGAGAGAGAAAAAGAGAGAAGAAGCGCACGGGGGAAAATGAGAACATCTGAGATATTTCGCGAAGTGCTTCGATATACTCGCGAATACTCGCGGAAACGAGTAGGTTTTCCCCTTTCCGACTTTTATCGCGACGGTAATGTTTTTTTTCACGTACGATCGAAACGGTTGATTCGTACGAGTGCGTTACACATCGTGAAAACCGTACTCTCGGGAGTTGTGCTCGCGCCGAGTCGAACTCCCGGGCAAATCAATCCTAAATTGTTTCCCGTAGGATGGTTACTCCGCCGAGGATAACGCCTCTGGCAGGCATGCGATGAAAGAGTAACTCTCTCGATGAAAAAGCGTGGGGAGCAGCACGGGGAAAACGAATGCGCGAGGACACGCGAGAACGATAATTGAACTCTGCAAGAAGAGTTGAAAATTCGACCTTGTTTCTTTGCGCACACAAAAAAATTTACGCTCGTGCTGCTCTCGTTTCTTCGTTAAATGGTATCCAAATAATCGTCACGATATTGCGATATTTTTATTATCGCACTCTATTTTTCCTCTCTCTTTTCTTCTTTAAACCGCATCTCTTACATGCTTTTCATAAGCGAGCGTATAGTTTTTATTTTTTTTTTTTTTTGTAAAATCGACAGCTCTTCGAGCTCTTGTTGGTTGTAGCAATTACCGCATCAAGAGGCCGGCCTTCCCGGCACGATTTCCGAGCCGTGGAGGCGGAAAACAAACAATTGCTTCGGCAACTGGGTGTTTGAGCCCACCCACGGTTCCGCACGAATTTACATTTTCCACCGGCTGAGCTAAAGTTTCTCGAGTATATACGATATATATCGACTGCTGCGGTTCCCAGGAGAACGCCAGGTGCGTACTCCGGTACTTTCGTTCGGGCCAACGAGGGCTGCGTTAATGGAAGTTTCGTGTAAGCCAGACGTTAATCTGGCACCGGACGATCCGACAACCGGCGGTACACTTTTTTAAGATGGCGACGCCGCGGCGATAACGAGTGTCAATAATTCGCCACGATATTTTATGTCGTCGCGAGCATTTGCCTCGCACCTAAATCAATAACGACGATAATAACGTTTAACGGTCGACGATTAGCACGATATGGAATGTACGTCGTAAACGCGAGGCTGAAAAGGAAGAATATGTCTCTATCGCGGGAGTCGCGCGGCGAGGGAGTTAAACGTCCGTCTAAAAAAAAAAAAAGAAAATTAACGTTTCGTAATGCGCGTATGCCGTGACTTTTACATCCATCGTTTCGTTTCAGGTTTCGAGTGGAGCGAGCTCGAGGGAATACGATCGAAACGAAGCATTTCGGTGAAACGGGTGCTATCGGATGCGTCACGCGAGTGTCCGATTATTCAACAGTTTCGTCGCGTCCTTCTCGGAAAGTAACGTCATATGTCACCTTTCTTTATCTGAACGCCATTTGCGAGATATTTGCACGATCGTTTTTCAGCTGTTACATAAGCCGATATACGTAATACCGGTGCACAGCCAGTCGAGTGTTGTTTTTGTCTCGGTCGCGGAAAAGCATTTTTCTGCCAATCGATAAAAGGCGAAACTCCGCCTGCCTCTGCATTAATGATAACGTCGTCAACGTTCTATCAATCATCGTGACACATCGGCACATCAGCGATCGGCTAAATATGGACGAAACTAGTTTATGCAAATAGGATCGACGAGGATCCCTACCTCGCCCAATTTTGCAGCCTCGTTAAGTATATGGGGATCGACGCACTGCCAGCGACCTTCCGGCCTTGAACAATTAACATGTAAATCAGCGACAAACCGAAGAACCGGGTAGTTTGTTTGCGTGTAAATCGATGTTACGTGAAGGTAATGATTGACAAGGCCGTTGTAACTTTTGCGAAGGATTGCGACACGACAAATGCGGGTCGCCGCCGACGATGCCGGTATCATCGCATTTTTCCAAAGGTCGCCGCTACGGTCATTGACCACCGTTTCTGATCCCGATCAATTTAATAGCCGAAATTTAAAACACAAAAGTTCGTTGGCAATTAACTATTAATATATAATCATTATTATGATTATGATAATATTAATTTATTACAATCTCCGCTATTCCTCCATTATTATTTCTGCAGGTGAAAAATAAAAAATGTATTCGTATACACGTTTACGCGGTAAAAAATAAATCTTACGTACGTTTAGCTGCATGATGATCTGATTGTACGCCCAATGCCACCGCTGCCTCGCTGTCATCTCTGGGCGTTCCTTCAGCTGCGTGGGTACCGGCGCTACCCCGACCATCTCGAGGAGTTCCTCATCGGGCGGCGGTTCCGGCGGACTTCGCGGCGGAGTGTCCATCTGAACACTTTCATCCAACGACGCCTGCTTTATTATACTCCCTAAAATTGAATCGGTCAATCGGTCGATATTAATAAAATGTGTACGCAATGCTTATTACCTTTTATTTAATTAACAATTAGATAATAATCTTACCACGCGGGCTCTCAATCTGCGACAAAGGCGGCGTCCCTTTGTACTGATCGAGCGAGTCCTCTCGAGAGTTACGAAGCAGGGCTTCCTCGCCCCGTTCGTACCTTCGGCAGAATTAAAACTTTCAGTTACAACATTCAAATCGACATATGAGAATGAGAAAAATATTATTTTCGATTATTAATAATTATATGATTTAATATTATTATTTAATTTCGTACCTCTCAAGAGTCTCGTCCCGCATCTGATAGTCACCGTTCACCACGCTGCTCAAAACGATGTCACTCTGATCTATCGATTCCTGATCCTTGAAGTGACCGCGTTGATAGCTCTCCGCTCTGGAGATAGGCTGCGGCGTAAAGTTGTGTCCGTAATTGTTGCCTCGCAGCTCTCTCTGCTGATACGAATCGGTCCTGTTGAGAGGCGGCTTAAATCCTTCAGTGGTCGACGAGAAGTCCTTCCCGGGCAGTTGAGTGTAAGATTCTCTACGACTGTAAGATTCATCGGGGTAGTTATCAGAGGCGTAAGAGTCCCCCCTCGTGAGTTTCGGTTTTTGCGAGAGCGTTGACTGAGAGTGTTGGCTTTGATGTGACAGCTGCGAGTCCTTCCTCTGTGTCTCCTTGGGAATGATCTCCGGATAGTCTTCGTCCTCGATGATATCTTCCTGATAGGAATCCGTTCTGGCCAACGGCCGTTTGCCGTTCACGAGATTCGTGATACTGTGAACCATCGCGGTGGTCGTTACGTGATT